ACGGACATGGGTACTTCGTCAAGGTGTCTTATCTTTACCGGGCCGTGAGCAGTCATCATGAAGTGTGACCCACTCTGTGAATAACTGAGGGGCCCAGTTCTTCAGCTGCTGTGACTGCGGTCACTGTGCTGCTTCTGGAACATTCCCTGATGCCTGCTGTCCACTTCCCTCCCAGTCCTCTGCCCTGGCTCAGCCCCGTGGGGACCTGCACAGCCTGTCCGGGCGAGATCTGATTGGACCCCTCGGTGGCCTCCGGTCCTGTCTAGCCAGCCCCTCCCGCTTCAGGCACTTCCTCTGTGGGCTCTGCAGGTCACTCGCCTCTGTTCCCTTCCTGCCACGGTTCTGGTTCCTCCTGCAGCTCTGGGCTCTGTGCCTGAGCCCACTGTCATTCCCCAAGGCCGCGCCCTTGCATGCCACATCCTCCCCTGAGCCACTTCATCCGAGCTGACGGATACAACTGCCGTCACCCGGATCTCCAGTTTCGACCCCAACAGTTGTCTGAGCATCGTTAGGCACAGCCAAGCACTTCCCGGCTGAGCCCTGCTTTGCTGCCCGAGGAACCTCGCATTCGACATGTTTAGCTCACAACCTCTCTCAACAAACTTCCCCCTGGTTCTGCATTCTGACCCTTAGCCCACATTCCCTGCCGGTTTTCCTTCCAAAAGGCCTGTCTGCCCCTCCCCCCGGGTGCCTGTCCCTCCCCTGGGTTCCCAGAACTTACTGGAATACAATATTTATCGCGCTACAGTCTCATCTTTGGTGTGCATGTCTGCTTGTCCCTCTCCCCTAACGATGAGATCTGACTCTGTCCCGGCCCCTAGCATGGTGGCGCTCATCAGTGCTCACATAATGCTTTGAGGGAGTCACTGAACCTACAGGAGAAACTGAGGGCCAGCTGGAGAAGAAGGGGCAAAAACACACAAGTAACAGTGGTATGATGACTCAGAGGGGAAACGAGGAAAGAGGGTCTAAGAAACTGGGTATTCTTCAAAATTTTTCTATGATTACAAGCCCAGAGGTGGAAAAAAGCAGGGTGCCTTAGCCTCCGGGTGTGAGCGGTTTGGGTATTTACTTAACTACAGGCGGCAAACCAGGGCAGACGATCCAGGTGGGTACCACCCCTCGGCCCCTGCCAAGTCTACAAAGATACCTGCGAAAGCATCATCGTAGGCGGGCAGGTGAAGTACAGATGAAGAAACTCGAGACAAGGGGTCTCTGACAGCCGGTAGGAACATGAGAAGAACGTGCCACAGAGATGAGGGATGGGGAAACATTGAGACTAATTTTTTTTTTACCTATTGAGCGAGGATGCAAAAGAGGAGCAAAGAAGGTAACGGGCACTTTTAATATCCATGAGGGAAAAAAAAAAAAACCCTCAAGCTTCTAACTGGAGTCGTGTTCAATATGCGGATTACTTTGGAGAAAACTGACTTTTAAACATCGATTTTCTCCTATGAACACAGTAGAACTCATTTGTCATGGTCCTCTTTTTTGCCCGTTAATCGAGTATTACAGATTTCTTCACGTGGACTTGAGATGTTTCTTATTATGTTTATCTCAAGATGATTTCATAGGTTTGGTTGCTGTTGTGAGTAGAATTGTTCCCTGATCTTCGAAGCTCTTGATTTACTTCGCGTTAATCCGTTTTCGATTGAGATAGAATTGATGTATGACATTATACCGCAGGCTGTAATTTTTTAAAGGAAAAAATACGGTTGAAACGATTCCCTCCCAATTCAGGGAGAAAGAGAGAGGAGGCAAAGAGGGGAGGAGTGGAAGAGACGGGGAGGAAGGCAATGAAATAATCGAAGAAAAAGGAAGAGGAAAAGTTGGAGGAATAAAGAGGTGACGCCTGGTAAGCGGACGAGGACAGAAAGTAGCCAGAACGGCTGGGATCTGCTCGTGGGCAGGAGGCCCGTGAAATGTCAGATGACAGCCTGGCTGCAAGGCAAGTATAGAAGGAATGCGAAATGGAGGTAGAGACCAGGTTTGAGGCCGGAGCCGGGCCTTCTGGTCACAGCCCTAAAAGATCCGGGATTATCAGCAGAGGAGGTGATAGGCACCCAGGGCCGCCACCCATCACAGGACAGACGCTGAGAAACAGACAAAGGTGCCTAATGTGGCTGGCTTGGCAAGCCGAGGACAGGATATCTGAGCCTCCAGTCACCCCCCGGGCCAAATGCCCGTGGGGGAGGGAGTCACCTGACAACCTGAACCGTTTGAGGAAGGGCTGACACACCACCTCTGTGTGAGGAGGGATCCTTGGGACTTTCTACCTGGAAATTTGAGAGGACCGTGGGCAGCCTGGGAGGGCAGTGACAAGCATTACCTCATCAGGGCTCCCGAGTCTTAATACTGTAATTAACCCTAGGTGACTTCAACAGTGGATAAGGCCGGGAGAGACATGTTAAGGGATAGGAGTTAAAATAAACGAGGAAAAAAAAAAAAAAAACACCTCTCATTTTCAAAATTATCTTTCTCCTCGTTGTTAGTGTCTTCTTTAAAAGGAGCTTACCGACTTAAATTCCAGGAATTCCATTCCTTTGGCAACTTGATAAGCGAAGCAGAGAAGATCTTCAAACGTAAGCACATTCAAGTCGTCTTCGTCTTCCAGCCTTTTCTGGTTTTCGTATTGCGTTTCATCTAGAAGACAGAACGGGTCCTCATTTTTTGCCAAAACGCTAAGAAGCTGCCTTATTAAATCTCTACGAGGAGATTATTAAAGCCCCAGGTTATTAAAGTCTGTGCCAAGACGCACCAACGAAGCTCTCAGATCATCATCCTGCTGGCACAAGGGCCATGTGAGCTGAAGAGTCACCTAAAGATTCTTTTCTGCTCGAGAGATCAAGTAAATTTCCAGCGGCTTTGGTGAGAGATGGCTTCCTGATCTGCCAGGAACTCCAAACGCTCTTCTTTGGCGCTGGGTAGTTTAGTCACATTGAAAAAAGAATTAACATCAATCGACCTATCACGTTTTGTGAACCATATGATACACTCAACATTCGTCCACTTAATCCACCTAATAGTCCTTTGAGGAAGGTATGAATTAGGCCCATTTTACAAATGAAAACATTGTGAGTCAGGGGGTGAACTAATGTATTCAAAGTCATGAGCCGGAAAGTGAAGAAGCCAGAAGTGGACCCAGTCGCTGACTCAGAACTCACCATCTGTAATAGGGGCTCTGATTAATTTATGGCCAAATAAAATAACCCTCAGTGGTGAAACATTGACATAAGATTCACAATATACAAACCGTTGGGTCTTAACGACTTTTAAAGCAAATCTGCATTAGTGAGGCCTATAGATGAGAGTAGCAGAGAAAAGCACGTTTTTGCACTTACACGCTTTTTAAAAAAAATAGCAAACGCAGAACTCTTGTATTCCTTTCTATTTTAAAGTGCTGCTAATTAGAATAAAATATTACCTTCGGATTGAAATGAATTCCCATTGAACCCTGAGATGTGATCCGCATCCTGATGTATTTGAACGTCTCTCGAATCGGGCATACTATTAAAAAAAAATCATTATTTCATTATTTATGTTTTTCTTCTGAGTAGACATTTTGTAAAAAAAAGAAAAAAAATACAGTCCATCGAAGAAATGGATTCCAATTATAAACGGGCTTTTTAAATTAAAAGCGCAGCATCAACTTGTCCTTTTTTTTCTTGGTGTGGAATTAAAAACATCTGTGTAACTGAGCCGGTCTAACTGGGGAAGATGCGGGCCCGTTATCTGATGAAATCTGACGGCCTCCGTCCTCACCACGACTCTGCGAGCTGTGGTGTCCAAGCCACGTGTCACAGAAGAGAACTTAGGCCTCATGAGATGGACACGATTTGCAGAGACCACGGGGTCCGTAAAGACTGCCTCTAGGCCTCACACCTCGGCCTCTGTCTCTAAGCTCAGCCCGCTTTCCCCATCTCGGCTCCTGTCAAACAGGTCTAGAGACCTCCAAGTGTCCTACCATCCTCTTTTTTTCAAGGTGGCCTTTGTGAAGCTTGTTCCCTTTTCCTGTGAAATTAATAAGTAGTAATAATGACAATCTCTTCGATGGAGCTCTTCACTGAGAGCTTTAGATACGACGATTCAATTTACTCCAACCTAAAAGTTTACTCCAACTTACAACTTCCGAATCTTTGGAAAACGGCTAATGCTTTCCAGCCACAAATATTCCAAAAGGAATATTTAATACCCCAGCGACCGACTGAACCACAGGTGCGAAGCTCGCCAGCCGCGGTCACTGCTGGTCACCCACGTCTGACTCATTAGGACAAGCTCTCTGTTCTAGTGTACAGGTGACGTTACGTAACTTTCTCAGTTTCAGAATATGAACCGAGAAAGGAGGGTGGAAGGGAGGACCGGTGTGACGAGTGTGACTCGGGAAAGGGCAACCGCACAGAGACCTGTGTGGGGATCCCCGTGGGCTTTCCAGCTTTCAGAGGCTGGGTCTCCGCCCTGAAACTTATACACTCAGAAAACAAGGCTGGAATGGCCAGTGTGCCCTCCAAAAGTCCCCCAGGGAAGACATGAGCCTCTGACCAACGTGCCTTGAGGCTAAGGGAGAGTTTTCACGTGTGCAGGAAAACTGGGGAGCACTGCGGAGTGAGGGGTCACTCAGGACGCCCGCGGATTCATTCAGAAGGGTGTTCCACAGCTACGACATTCAAGTCGTTAGCGAAGAATTTCCAGACTTCTCCGGCCTGCATCTCCGCCTGCCTGGGACGAGAATCACGGAGGATTGGCACGGACGGGGGAGGGTACGAGGCGGAGCACGGAGGCAAATGCCACCGCTCCTTGATTCTGTCCCCATCACGTTACGCCAACGGATCCGTCTTAATTTCTTAAAATCCAATTCGTGAGTTTAAAGCTCTTCTGGGCAATACTCCCGGGACCTCTACAAAGATGTTCCAGGGCTTTGGGGAAAGGGTTCGTTCTCTCTACCGATACCTGTGTGTCAACCAGGGGGTCGAATAACGCACCTTTCCCCAAACCGGATGTGTGTTTGTGTGTGATTTAGGCCCAGATGGACAGTAGCCGGCTCAGCTACAGTCCCTGAACCAAAGAGAAAGTTCTCATCGTTTTAAATTGACAGGGAAACTAGCAAAGACGAGAGTAGGTCTAAGGACTCACGCAGATGACACAACGCTGGACTTGGCCTTTAGAAATTGGCCAGTGGGCGGGGGAAGTGAAAGAACGTTGTTGAACCATCATGCTTTGTGTTCTAGGGTGTACGATTAAGACACTGTGACCTAGTCTCTTACCTGGAATTTGGATGCGACTGGAAAGTAGGATAAAAACTGAAATTGTGCTCCTTGAAAATCTCTGTCCACGTCCTGTGAAATTTTTCTCTTTTACTTCTTAGATAGTTGAGAAGGTCACCATAGCAACAATATTCAAAAATCAAGTAAATGGGTCCTGAAATAGTGACAGTTTTCACGATGGGTACACAAATACCAAAATGATTTTTTTCAGATGTCTGGGTAGCAGAGAACACACCCTCTGAGAGTTCACTTCTCCTCTGACTCAGGGAGAACGCAACTTTTTCTGAGCCTAACCCTTCTTACCCTTGAAACTCAACTTCAGCTTTTTGCTCTAACCCCGTTGGAAAGCAGTATCTTCTTGCCTTGTTGGCCTTTGGTGTACGTGTGGCCTCACCAATAACCCCTGCCCGCCTAGATGCTCCAGTTTGCAATCGGAAATAATATGGATAACGGGCACTTGGTAAATATAGGCTGATTTGTTCTTTGCCTGCGGAGGGAGAAATATATTCCTAATCTCCCTTTAGGTCCGTTTTCTCTTCTGTTAGCCCCAATTCCAGGCAGGCTATCCCGGATAGGATAACCCTCGGGCACATCGCTCTGGAATTTCTAGGCAGAAGCGAGAGACTCAGAGCGCATGCTGCCCTGAGATCTGGGAAAACGAGCTTTGAAATCTGCCTTGGCTGTGTGTCTTTGAACCGGCCCAGCCCGGGCAGTGGCCCAGCTCGGTGGCCGTTCTCAGCACTGCATTCACGCCTGCTTCCCAGCTGGGGAGAGGCAGAGAGAGAAACGACGAAATGGACTTTTGGTGCAGTGCCAGCTGCTAAGGAGCTTAGAATCACGTGCCACATCCCAAAAGGGAGAGGCCTCCTCTACGCGGCCCATCTGATGGCAGTACACGCATGTCTAATCCCACTGTGACTGAGAAAAAAGGAACCGTGTGACAACAGGTGTCCTCTTTGCCTTCAGGCTGAAATATTTTTGACTGGGAGTTTTCAGGGGGAATAGATTACCTGTCTGTGTGCACGCCCCCAGCAAATTCACAATATTCTCGTGGTTTCCCAGATGAGTCATCATTTTGAGTTCAGACATGAGAGCTTCTCTTTCGGAATTGTCTGCTTTCTCTATCGAAGGAAGGGCATAAAAAAAATAAAATAAAATGCAAAATTAAAAAATAGAAATTTTAGGTCATTTAATGCATCAAAACGTTCCTCAGTTTTCGGAGCAGGTCCGCATAAAAATTTCAAAAGTACATAAACTAATACGTGCATTTGGAATAACAATATGCTGTGTTTTCAGAAAGAATTCCAAAGGTTGTAGCATAAAAGTTGAATCTAATAATGTGCCTTTCTACTGGATGCTTCTCTGTCTACCAAAATGAAAGTCCTTGATATTGACCTTCAAAAAACAAAACAAAATAATAACGATAATAATACATGCTTACTGATGAGCTCAAACGTCTTGTGTCATTGAGGCTGATGTGCCGGTGGTCAGGGCACCCTTGCCCAGGTGGGTGCCAGACCCTAGAGGCCACGGGAAGGTCTTTGGACTCCCCTCCCCAGGCTCCGGGCACCAGGCAGCCGGTGCCCACCCCTCTGCTGACTTATTTTTTTCTTACAAACATGGTGACTTTTCTTTACATTCCATGAAGATTCGTTTTTTGTTTTTGTTTTTGTTTTAATACCCTCAGCACCTGGTCATCCTAGGTGGTCTCCCATCCAAGTACTAACCAGGCCCGACCCTGCTTAGCTTCCGAGATCAGACGGGATCGGGTATGATCCGGGTGGCGTGGCCATAGACATTCCTTGAAGATTTGATAAGCAATTTCCAGGTCTCACGATTTTGTCCTGGGAGGGATCCTAACCATCAGGGTCACCCTTATTTCCAGCATCTTGGTTTGGGGCGTGCGACCCTTCTTCACTCGTGCACTGTGACCAGCTAGCATTTCATGTCTTCCACTGGCTCGTGTTTGATAGAAATGTGTGGCTTTCACTTGTCCCCCGTCTTATTCTTCATGGCCAAAATAGTATATTTTATGCTTAACTTTATAAAAGTGTTTTTATATGCCATTACCTGACATTCATTCATTCATTCATTCATTCATTCATTCCTGAGTATTTATTGTCTCAATGCCTCATACTATGTATGAGGCAATGTGCCAGGCATGGGGATGGGGGGTTAAGAAATGACAGACAAGACACAGCTCCTGTCTTTCTGGAGCTCAGAGTCTCCTGGGAGAGGGAGACAGGTGAATAAACAATTACGATCTAATGTGATCAATACAATGTGGCAAATGAACGTAACGGTGCTGTGGGGTCCCACCAAGGGGACATCTACCCTAGCCTTAGGAGGGGTGGGTGGGGAAGGGGACACCAAATGTCTATGCTGAGACCTGAGGACCACAGGAGTTAGCCAGGTGAAGAACGCACAGCGAGGGGCCAGAGAGAAGAACTTTTTATAGTGAAGCAAGAGAATGAGCAAAGACCAAGAGCAAAAGAGAGCGGAGCATCACAGATACAGACCCCACCTCGTGAGGCTTACAGACTAACGGGCAGATTAAGACAGTAACTGAACACTTAAAGGTCATAATTACATATTGGTGATGACCCCTGGCGGGGGTGGGGGTGGGTAAAAAGTCTACAGAGAGCCAAGACAGGCATACGGCCTGGACCTTGATCTCATCCCCGGTGTGAGAGGGTCCCCTGAGGAAGTAATATTTAAGCTGAGACCTGGAGGAGGAGCTGGGCAGAGCTCGGGGGCGCTTGGAGGAACCGAAAGAAGGCTGCGAGCTTGGGGCGGGGTGGGGAGCCGCCACCAAGCCCCGCGGGCCCCTGTGGGGTATTTCGGGAGTAGCTGAATGAGACTGGAAATGTTACGTAGGAAAATGACAGGATCCGCTTTGCACTTCATAATCGTCACTTGGGCTTCTTTCGGGGTAGAGACTCTGAAAAGAGGTAGCAGTGCATAGCAGGAAAGTTGACAGGAAGCGCTTCTGGGGCGTTAGGATGGGGACCCTGTCCAGGATGAGCCCTGGGTTTCCCGATCGCCCGACTGTGGAATGCGGCTGATCATGGGCGCTTGTGCCCGTCACTGAGGACGGCACGTCAAGGGAGGAACAGGGTTGGAAGAATTTGCTGGATGAGCTGAGTTACAGGGACTTTTGAGACATTTGCATACAGGGCCTGACACTCAGACGAAAGACACAGTCATGAACCACTGGTGTCTGGGAGAAGGTCCCGGGTGTGGCTGAGATGGCCCAGCAGGGCGAGCGTGGGCAGTGACAACGGAAGGAGACCCAGGAGCGAGCCTTCGAGAACTCCACTAAAGAGCGGGGTCGGAGACGAAGAGCCGGCAAAGGGCTGCGAAGGACGTGGAAACCGGAAGGACAAAGGCCCTTAAAGATGGAGAAGAGTCGATCGTGTCAATTCGGGCTAAAAATTTCAAGTCCCGTGAGGACTGAAAAACGCCCATCGGACTTGGTTCATTGGAGGCCATCCATCACTTACGCCCAAGCCAGAGAGGCGCTGTCGCCAAGTGAGCGAGGCTAAGGGGACAGAGGGCGGTGGGCCCCAGACGGGAGTGGAGGGAGCAAGGGGTGGTGAGCGATACGGAGTTCCAGCTCGCTCTTCTACCCAGTGTCTATGCCGAAATGGCTGAAACAGCATCCGCCTGTAGCAACAGTATCCCCAAATACCAACAACATATCGAGCAGTACTCCATGGGGATTCCTGTCTGACAAGCCAACAACAAAAACAAAAACCTGAACGAGAAAGAAGAAGTAGAGTTTGGGGTTCGCGACCTGCATCTTACAATCACGACTTGGCTGACACTAAGCCCAACTCCCTCCCTTTGCAGCCTTGAAGCACAGGCAAGTGGTGGCCACAGAAATGACGGGAAAGAGAGGTGAGAGGTGAGAGGTGAGAGGTGAGAGGTGAGAGCCTGCATGGCCCATCCGGGCAGCTGTCATTGTACTCGACTGTACCTTTCAGCATTTTGACCGCAACTTGAATGGAGACTCCTGTTTTGCTAATTCCGTAAGCTGTTGCGTTCATCACTTTCCCAAAAGCTCCTGATCCTAGCACTTTGCCTGCAAGATAAATGGCGAGTGAGTGCATGTTCTGAGTGCACAGAAGGGAGATGCTACAGAAACGTCTGGAACATTCGATTCTTACCGAATTCTAGATTTTCTCTTGGAAACTCCCATTTGAGATCATATTCGTATTCTCTGAAGTCGATGTAGAAGTATTCATTATCCGAAGAACCGGTCACCTGTACCATTTGCAGCTGGCTTTCATACCTAAATTGCTTCGGAGATGAAATAATGAGTCAATTAGCAATTGGCAGTTCTTCTAAAACAGGAAACAATGAGTTTTTACTTGTTTTTTTGGTTGGTGTTTTTTTTGTTTCTTTTTTGTTTTTTTTTGTGTTTTTGTTTTTGTTTTGTTTTTGTTTTTTACCTTTTTGTACTTGTGACAAATTAGCATGGTTAAAACGGCAATGAAGGGGAGACAGAGCCCTAGGGTTGCGTAGAATGAGATGTTGTCCCGGAGAAAACGGAAGGGATCTGCAACAAAAGAGTGTCACGAAGCAGTGCGTTAGCATCCCCGACTGACAGCATAGGTAAACGCCCGCCATAACCCTTTGAGTCGCCATGATTGGCAGCCCTTTCCAAATACAAGCTCTCTACAAGCACCCCACGGCTCGAAGAAAATAAGGCAATGGTTGCATAGAGCAGCGAGCGGTCCCCAACCTTTCTGGCACCAGGGACCGGTGCTCCTACGATAATCTTAACACCTGAAGATCTGGAGCGGAGCTGAGGCGGTGATGCTAGTTCTGGGAAGCGCTGCAAACCCACCTCCTGCTGTGTGGCCTGGTTCCCAGAGGGGTCCGTGGCCCCGGGGGGTTGGGGCCCCCTGGCATCAAGGACACACTTCCTTCCTAGAAAATTTTAAATGATTCCGAACCCTTTCTTAGAAATCAATTCCTAGAGTTATAAGAATCACATCTATTTAATCGGATATACGAGTCGGATTAAAAAAAAATAACTTTGTGTTCCCCCTATGAAGATACTGTGTGAATGTGGAGAAGGTAGTTTGGGTTGCTGGTGACTCTAAGTGGTAAGGATAGGGGGCCACGTTTCAGAATTGCTTAACTCAGGAGGGCTCTAGAAAACAAACGAAAAATTATAACACAGCAGACTAATGGCAAAAAAGGAGATTAAGCAAAAGGGAAAATGGTAGCGACGCCAAATTACTAAATCTGTTTCTCAAGAATCGGGTCTTTCGGGAGATATTGTTGGAGTTTATGGTTCTACCCCAACACTCGACGCATGAGTCATGGGGACGTCAGCTCCCTCTGCCCCTAAGCGACACCATGGTGTACCTTCGGTGGGGATTCCTGTCTGACAAAAAGCCCTCTCGGGTTACACGTCGTGGAACCTCTACTCTCTTGTAAAATTCCCCAAAGAAAAGAGAAGGACAGGGACTAATTCTAGTGGGAACTTCCTGAATGCGGTGCCTTACGATAGCGCCTGCTGTGTACCTGGTGAGTTTAAAAGGATCGTTTCACAGGACGTGCCCAGGGAATTGTATGCACAGCACTTCACCAGAAACCCTTTGACGGCCTCGGTCATGTTCAGAGTACTGCTCGAGATCCACTGCCCGAACACTTTCCTGTTAGCCTTTTTATTCCAGATGCCTTCCGTGATGTCTTCCGTGCAGCTGAAAAGAAACAGCAGACAAGGGGAAATTAGACAGGTGGCGCCATCAGACCGATGGGCTCGCAAACAGACGCATCTATGCTGAGTGATCAGAAACCATGGAGGACCATGTAGAATTATGGTGAACTCGGAAGGCGAGCATTTAAAACACGTCATTGTGTCTTCTGAAACTGTATTCGCGAGAAAGGGCCAATGCGTCAGAGAGAGTGTGAGGTTCATGTTCTTGCAACAGGAGGGACGCCGACGTCTGTATTACTTGGGAGACGTGTCTGAGCATTTCTTCCAGGTCCAAGACGGTAACGGGTATCCATCCGAGGAACAGGAAGCCTGACTTGCTGACGCCTCGGCTAGCACCTGAGGTTTCCCTGAAGAGAATAACATGGACAATGAGCACGTGTGGCATGGTACTTTCCAGAAATGGTTTCGAAGTCAGCTTCATACAGGCGGCCTGGTTACTCTGAGCGGTCTGTGCTTCTGGGAGGGTGTCTCCTGCAGGGCGACTCAAGACATCTGGTTACTCCCTCTTTCCCGCTCGTCACGGACCCTTCCGCAAGGCAGCCCTGCCCCCTATCTGCGGCACACCACTTTCCCGTAGCCAGGCTCTGCATAGAGCTGAGGTGTAGACCTCTATCTACCCGCCCACTTCAAAACAACTCTTGGCTTCACGGGTATCTGCAAAAATTCCAGCGAAACGTACTCTCATCTTTTTATAGACCAGAGATACAAAAGTCGTCAAAACAAGTAAATGACAGGTAATACGACTTCTGGCCTTTCCTTAACATGACCTTCCAAAGGACTAACGTCAGTAAAGGTCACGAATAAAACAAAGAAGACACGGAACAGGTCTCTTAGCCTCAAAGGATGAAACTGAAAGAGATATATGTATAAATAAAGCCAGGAGATGTCAAAGTAACATTTCAAAACACTTCCGTATATAAAAAGTTTTATAGCATTCCCTCTACGCCATTACTTAGCTCTTTCTGGTCATAGTTAATAAATCATTAAGAAGCTATAAGATTAAAAATTGAATTTGACAATATAACTTACTTCTTATGTTCAGCGTGAATGTTTTTGTGAACTGGGCGTCATCATTTTCCGCATGGAATATGTATTCTCCTGGCTGGTGTTTATGGTTGCAAAACTTAGATAGGCTGTTTGGAAAAGAATTAAAGACAGACTTAGCTCAATTCTTATAGGACATGTATGCACGGGAGCCATCTCCCTGGAGACACTCGGTCTCCGAAGTTCAGTAAACAAGGTAGAGTCTGTGTGCGAGGCCCTTGCTGCTCCAAGTGCAGTCCCAGGACAGGCAAGGTCAGCATCGGGATGGTCTGGGAGCTCGAAATACAAAAATCTCAGGCCCGCCTTCAACCTGCTGACGTCGGAGCCTGCATTTTAAGATGAGCTCCACGGGACTCATACGCACGTGAAATGTTAAGAAGCACGGATCCGGGCTGGGAGCCTCAGAAGGTTCCCGTCCCTACCGGGTTAGTCCATTTCCCAGAAACCCAGAAGAACCTCCATGGGGGGAGGAGCCAGCGACTGAAAGAATAGCTCTCTGACATTGGTCAAAGCGGGACCTATGACCAACACAGACAGCAACTAACAGTGATGAGGGATTTCCACTGAGTTTGTACAGAAACCTTTGGGGGGGTCTCAGCAGGCTCCAGCACCCACTGGGAGGGCTCACCAACCGCTCAACGCATTCTGACACGGATAACGATCTCAGTCAGGGCTTGTCCGCCTTGCCCACGGGGCATACGGACGCTGGCTGTCACAGTGGGATGTGGGTGGTGTTGGACAGGTAGGGTGCTGGATACACCTTTGTGCATTGGAGAAATAGAAAAAACTTCCCTTAGATGAAGAACATCTAAGGCTTTTTCAGAAGGTAGTTAATCAGGCCTCCTCTGTGGAACCTTGAAGTTAAAAAAAAAATGACCGCTTTTTCTAGTAGGTGCTGGGTGGAAACGTCAACAGCAGAAGGCTGAGTAGAGGCGGGCCATAAACTAGGAGTCCTGTGGGCTGCAAAACACCCATAAAATATGGCTCCTGTCCTCAGAACGATCGTAACCCAGGTGGGGAGACAAAACCCACGTCAGGGGAATAGTCAAAGCGTTAAATAGAATCGGGCCGATAGAGGACCAAAGGATGCAAGGCCAGCGCTGCTGAGACAAGCTCTGAGGACTCCACGAAAAGGGGGACCTGAGCTAGGTCTTCGTGGATGAGTCGGTTTTAGTGAAAAAGAAAGAAAAGACTTCTGAGGAGACTTCTGAGACACGAGACGGGAACTCGAAGGCCACAATGGGGAGTGACCGGGAGACCTCTAGACTGGAGCAGAGATGCATCTTGGGAAAAGAGGGCTAAACGGGTAGGTGAGGCCGACTGACCGGGGACCTCGGAAAACCAGCTTCATTATTTAGACCTGATGGAGAAAGGAGAAGATCCTGTAGACTTCGGAGCAGGAGAGGGACAGCGTGACCAGCACTTTCACTTAGACCGATGGCAGGAGAAGAAGCCTGTCGGAAGTACGTAGGCAGCTGTTGTAACCCAGGAATGCATTCGTGCGCTCACGCATTCATTCATTCATCCTCCTGTCATCGGTGGAGGCTATTCGTGGGGGGGATCGGGGAGACCCCAGCGAGTCAGAAAAAAATAGATTTATGTTCCCACAGAATTTACAGCTCGGTGGCGAAGGCAGATGGGCCGAGAAAGCAGTCACGGTACACGGTGAGAATTCCAGTGGGAGAAGGAGAAGATCAGATTCCGGAGTTCAGAGCGTGGAACAATGAGTGTCGTCTAAGGCAGGGAAACAGGAAAGGAGAGGAAAGAGGGACCCCAAGAGGCGCCCCCAAGAAAAAAGAGCTAGCAGCAGCTGGACTGCATATGCAAATGAGGAAGGGAAGAGCATCCCAGCGGATCCCCAAAGGTTGAATCACAGTCTTAGCAACTGATGAGCAGCTCAGAGCCCATGTTTATCTGACCCCAGAGTTATGCATCCTTAACTTCAAGGCGAAAGGAAATTCTGACGGCTTATAGCGATGAGAGAAACTCACAGCTCTGGCCCGTCCGAGTTAGCATTCAACAAACTTCTCGTTTGTCTTATCGACAGGAAGGCTGAAGTAAAAAGGGGGTGGGCGAAAAAGGAGAGGGGGCGTCGGAAGTACAATCTGCCAGTTATAAAATAAGTCACAGGGATGTCAACAACGGCGTAGGGAATAGAGAACATAATACTGTCATAACTGTGTACGGTGACAGATGGGTACTAGACTCATCGGGGGCGTCACGTCATGCGTTACGTAAATGTAACCAATATCATATTGTATATCGACTCTCCTGGAAAAAGTTTTTTTTAAAAAAAAAGAAGTAGAAAGGGAATTTCTTATCCTGACCTACTTCTGCAAGAAAGGAATGGCCGGCAAAATGGAAGTGGTAGGAAGCTTGAGAGACAGCTAAATAATAACCCGAGGGAGAAAAGGAAATCACCCAGACTTTAAGGGACAGGGTTTAAGCGTTCCAAGACGACAAAGATGTGAGCGTCTTTCAGGGAAAATAGAATTCTCCCCGGACCATAGCCAAAGACCCTGAAAAGGAACGAGAGAGAAGATAAGGAAAGAAGAAGCTGTGTGGCTGGCCAGGGACCCTGCCAAGGCCACCGGTCCATTTGATAGAAAAAGCAATTACCGATATAACCAGTGATTATCACGCAGCCCGAAGCAAGAGGTTTGTGAACACTCTCCTTTCCAAATCTTTGGTGCTATCTCACTGGGAGCGCTCTGGCCAAGGCGTAAACGAGATAGGACCCAAAATGTCCCCACCCCTCATAAATGGCCTGAACACAAGGTGACTGCCCAGGTCCTTTTAAAATGCTTGTGCTCCTGTGCATGACGCTCAACCCTCACAACAGCAACAACCGTGTGGCTGAGCCTCCTCCGGAAATTCCAAGGGGACTCACAATTAGGTGGCCGGGAGAGTCAAAGCTTCCTCTTTCTCCTAGTGTTTTTCTAAAAAAAAGCCAGCCGGCATGAGATGCGGACGAGCAAACTGGAGTTTACAGTGACGTCATACCTTGGTGACCGAGGTGTATTCTCATTACGACCACGATAAGGGTTTTCTCCCCTATACGATCAAAATACAGGTCATTTGTATTTTCCATTCGGTGCCTCGAGGGCAGGGGGAGAGAAAGGATAGGCTCTTTCAGGAGCTACAAAGGAAAAGGGGCTTTATTCAAAGACCAAGGGATTATCAAAGTCACATCAGAATGCAGAGAAGAAGAAAGCGGGTTTTGGGGAAGCTGAGAGAGAGCCAAGAGCTGACCAGACTGAGGTGGCTTTACAAGCACTGAAGGACACCTGATCAGGAAGTGGGTGATCCTATCTCCCTCAGACAGAAGTTTCGCTGGGGCAGGGGGGAGTACAGCCGGCTGAGGTTGAATCTGATCTGTTTGAATTTCTGTCCTGAGTTAGATAAAGAGAGTGGGGGAGGGTGGGCAGGTGGGGGAGGGAGAGAGGTGCCGACGATTTTATTTTAGTCTCTACAATACCATGCTCATTTAAATTTTATCTCGGGGGTGCCGACAAACCTGGGGGCGTGGTATGACCATTAAAGAAGGCTTCGATAGCAAAGCATGGCCCAGCTCATAAGGAGGCACGCTTTCATTTTTAAATAACCAAGGCACGAGCTTGCATTTTTGAGAATCTCGTACTTTGGAAATGAGTCAGCGTCAAACAGAGGCTTCGGAGTTGACGTTTTTTGCTGGAATCTCAACTCCGCCATTGCCCAGTGGGGTGACCTTGGGCAAGTCACCTAACATCTCTGTTCCTCAGTTTGCTCATCTGTGAAATGCAGATAGTGATAGTATCTGCCTCATATGGTTACTGGAGAACGTATTGTTAAGTTTTTACGAAAGTGGTTTCATATAAAGCGCCTATAATAGTGCCTAGTACATAAGAAACACAGTATATGGATTAGCTTATCATTATTATGAGGCTTATTAAGTCCAGCAATCATTTTAAATAAAAAAAAACTTTAGATGCTTTACTCTGGGGTATACAGTAAGTGAGAAAATCACATTAAAATAAAAAGAACAATGCAAAGATGCCCAACAACAGGAATTAGTGAAAATTTTCTAAAAAAATGGAATACTATGCCACATTAAAATGATACTGTAACAAATGTAAGATATAATAATATACTTATTAACGTAGAAAGACAATATTTTAAAATGAAAAACCAGGTTGTAATTAATTTTATGTTTGTACAAAAACCTCTATTTATATGTTTCTATCATGGTGGAATTATGGGGGTTATTTCCATTTTTATTTTAAAGGCAATTTCAGAAAACAAGAGTGAAGGGAATTGACCTTGCCCCGTGTAATTGGTCTAGCAACTCAACCCATATCCCGTATTTCATAAAATGAGATTATGAGGATTAAAGGAGATAACCCACATAAAGGACTCTGCACATTGTCTGGCACACGGCAAGAACGCAAAGAAGTTTCTTCTGTTCTCAGTGAGTATATGGTTAGTACTTGCCAGCTGAGGGGGGCAGGGCTGGGTTGGAGACCCTGCACCCTAACATTTTTTCCTTCCTTTCTGTAAATGCTCAAGGCTCATCATCTCCTTCAGAAAACAAAACAAACAAACAACAAACAAAACCCAACCCTAGCAAGAGGCTCTCCAGGCTTCTGTAATCATATATCACTTATTGATTTGAGAGCTTGCTTTTCCGTTCGTTCCAGAGAAGAAACGTGTGTCCTCACCTAGAACCCAGCCGACTGCCACAATGCAGTGACCTGTCATTGCTGAGTCCATGTCCGTTACGGGCAGAGCTTAGACTTGGAGAGTCGGGAAATTAAATATTTTGGGGAAAAGAAAAACGCAAGCATAGGGCGAGCCCAGGAGAGTCTTGCAGAAGAGATTACTAAATAACTATAACCTTCTAATAAGTTGGAGTTTTTTTCTTTTTAGCATGACACTAAGAAAAGCTAAGGTAGGTTTGTTTGTAATTCATCCTACAGAGATAAGAAATTAGGCAAACTAACGGATGAAATAGCCTACGACCACTTCTCAAGACCAGGATGTCAGAACTGCCAGGAAGTTATAATTTAATAACGTGTATACACATAAAGGCAAGCCTTAATCGACTTGGGTGTAAAATTTGAGGAAGTAAATTGCAGAAATGAAGCTGCGAAGGTAGAGAAGCTGGAGAAGCTGACAGGCCCAGCACACACACTGCTGCCACCACACCAAAGCTTTCTTCAGGAGTCGTGTGGTTGCCACAGACTTTTCGGTTGCCTGTAAACACTTGTGTCGCTCAGACTGTAGTCTCCCGCGACACGATTAAAACACTGTACTCCGCCAACAAACGTCAGTTAGATGAAATCGTCGAATCTAGGTAGGATGCTCACTGTACTACTCTCTGGGTGTGCTGGTAATATGGAAACTTTTTATGATAAGAGAACTCAGATTATAGTTTAGTCTGCCTCCCCCTATCTCAACGCAGAGCCTCATGTGGAGAGCAGAAGACATTTAGAGTGCTCGTGTTCGAATTTTTGCTCGTTTATTTTTTATGCAATATTCTGACCACCTTTTTCATGAAAAAGGAGGTGTGGTGACACCTTCCCTTTTCGTCTGTATGAAGCGGCCTGTCACCCCTGGTGTGTCATTATCAGCGACAAACACTGTAGCTCTTCGAGAACTTTTTAAATAAAACGAACACTGAGAGCTGAGTGGTGTGGCAAGTGCCATCTGTTGTTCCTTGCACTGCGAAAAAGACGCATGCCCCTGACTGATCGTTGGCCCTGAGTGGCTTTCCCGGGGTGATGATGATTCGATCATTTATTCAACGCCCCTTGACTGAAGGAGTCGTTATACAAAAATAGGGAAATGTCAGAAAGCCTGTCCTTATGGAGCTTATAAACTCACTGGTGAGATTCGGCACACAAAGAGTCGACTGTGTCACCAGGTCACGACGCATGAGAGGTACAAAGCACTGTACCTGGCTCGGGATCCGCCCCGATCCATTCATTTGGCTACCGAGTTGTAAGGTAACTACGTGGGGTCAGGAGAGCAGATCGTGATCATATACCGAAACCAAATTAACTAGCCCGCTAGATCGGCCCACGACCCATGTATCGGAGACATGGTCCTCTAACCAACGATTTTGTAAAATCTCAAGACCTTGTGACAGATGTCACCAGCTCAGTTGCAATGATCTCCCAGGTGGCCTCTGGCACTTGATCCTACCTGAGTAAATTTGGGTGGGGGGCTGGAGGAAAGAGACATTACCTTATTCGCTCCTGTGGCCCCTCATGGCATCAAGCCCATAAGAAGATATTAAAGGAATATTTGTTGAACTAAATTGAACTGGTGTTCTATCTGCGAATGGGGTTCAAAAGAGACCCCCATGATGCTAAGAGCTTCTCTGACACTGAGTTACAACACAAAGGTGGCGGGCAGTGACAGCTCTGATACCCTTCTGAACACGGGCCCGTGGTGGTCAAGTCAACCAGGAAGAACATTTCAAGTTCTCAACATCCATGTTAGTTCTCTATAGCTACCACATTGCAAGCACAGAACTAGCCAGACCCGTGACAGGAATCACAGCAGAGGTTGTCATTAAACATGCAGAATCTGGACGTTTTGCCCCAATTTTGCTTCCGCGTGCCTGGAACGGGATCCAGGAATCCACACTCTAACATCTGCCCAGATGATTTCTGTACAATTAGTTTATGGCCCGGACACGTGTTGACAATGATTTAAATATTCCAGGCCATTGACATGCTCGAGAGAGAACAAGTGCCTCTCTGTCACTCACAGTCTAGCCCGAAACCACGTACCACGGGATTCATTTTAAGAGGTGTCATAGCTATAGAAAATATAAGAAAAAGGTTGTTTTTTTTTTGTTGTTTTCCATAGAGGGACTAAAGAATTTCTCCCCTAAGAGAAACTCGAGTACGGATGTACAAATCCCCAGGAAAATGAAATTTTCCTCGGGCCTTTATTAATGAGCAATTTCTACATTTGTATTTTTTTTTTTTGAAAACTTAAATCGATACACCCGCAGGTAACGTTTTGCTGTTTTGAAGGGGTTTTGTTTCCCTCATCATCTGCAAACGTGCCGAGGGAGACTCGGTGTTCTTACTGCGGCACATTGTCTCAAATAGGAAGCAACACTCTGGTGACTCAGAAAATGCCGAGGAACCTTACTCAAACTCACGGGACGCTTTCTGTTTTGTGTGTGTGTGTGTGTGTGTGTGTGTATGTGTGTGTGCACGTACGCACGTGCACGGTGGCTCACGCCATCTGAACTGATTCCACGACTGTCTTTCCTGTGTCCTTGCATCTGCTGTTGATTTTTTCATCTTCGGTGTCAACTCGATCATATGTGAACTCACAACACGAAACCACCCTTCCGTTAAAGCAGCCGGAAGAGCTGGGCTGAGAATGTGTGCGAGTCGAGATGCTCTGTTTGGCCTCACCTGTACCCGTCGTCAAGGCCACTTTGTTCACAAGGAAAAGATTTTCGGGAGAAGGTCCACGTACATCTGATTTGCGGATATGCTTTAAACTTGACAGAAAAACAAAACTCTTCATACTGGTCAATTTCATAATCCTCCCTTGTTTTGGAAGCATTTATAAATCCCTTTTCTGTAACAAGAAAAATAAACCATTTATAAGTTAGATAATGAAATGCATATGGAAACATATTGAGATGATAAGTACATTTTTACTCATGGGTTTAACGCAAGAAAGCGCAGATGTAAATTTGGGTAAAATTTAAATCACGCTACAGGTCAGATTCGATAGTCCGACAAGAAACGCAGACATATCCCGTCATAAGCCTGAGCTGGGCACCTTCGGAGTCAAGATTCCTCTAAGAATTGAATGTAATCATTGACTCTTTTTCCCGAAAATACATATAAAGAAGCCTACAGATTTTGCAATTTCCGGAGGTTGAAAGAGCCCCGCCAGCTCAGCTGACCACGTACAGAGAAGGGGTCCTCAGCCAGAACTGCTCACAGTGACATGTCCCACGTAAAATGACCTCAGGTCACAAGTAAAAGAATGCTCTAGCCAGCAACACTCGCAAAGTTTCCCGTGGAACCTTCGTTATGAGTGCGATAAGAGAAGGTCTTCATATCGTGGCATTTTCGTGAGGGCCGAAGGCTGCCACCGAATCTGAGGTTATTTAAAGCGTGATCATTTTCAAATCCTCCAGATCCCACCCAAATTTCAATGCATGTAGGGGCTTGTCCGGTTCTCTCGGTCGCTGCTCACTGCCCTCTCTGTAAGTTCTTACGTGCCCGATTGTGTCAAGGACCATGGGGTAGAAGGAATCACCCCTGCCTGACCTTACAAAACTTACAGTCTACCGGAAGACAAAATTCCACACCCAGATGGTCACCTTACAATGCAGTAAGTAGGAAGACGGTGACATTCAAGCGGGCTCGCTTTAACTGGCAAAGAAGGGAGCGGGCAGCTGAGATCTGCAGAGCTGTTTGAATTCAGTGACTTTCTCAGCGTTTCCAATGCAACGTTAAGTCGAAATCAGAACCGGTGGCACACGCCTCCCAGTCGACACTAAAGCGACTAAAATTACGAGGGAAGAAAAGCATGAGCAGCCCGCTTTACCTATGACGGTGACCAGAGCCGACTGGCTGGCATGCTCGGAAGAACGGCAAGTGTAATACCCGGCATCATTTCTTCCCGCTGATGATACAAAAGCAAACAGAACCCGTATCATAGTTCTGTTTGTGGAATAGGTACTCATCTCAAAGTAGCTGCCCTAGGTTTTAACAAAACAGAGTGAATTTAATGATTTCAACCTAGACTATCGGTTCACGGTTTCTGGATCTTCAGAAGGCAAACGCGGGGCTGTTACCTCGTCCAGCGCTTTATTTCCTAACTCCCAGCTGAGCCCGAATCTGTGGTTTACGTGAACGGCTTTGCACCTGACCCATAAAGGTTCTCCCACTTTAAGAAATAATTGCGGCGATGTGGTCCGAGGACTCTGATTTAGATCTAGGAGACAAGAAGGTCCTGAGTCAGAAAAAAAGTGATTTTCTTCTTCACCGCAAACTACATCCCGAATATTCTGAAGATGTTCAAAGATGTGAACGTCATCTCGAACGTTACGAACCTCTTATGATGTTATTCATCTTTAAAATTAGTAAGTGAATCAATCTTTTATGATCTTATTAAATCGCGTAGCAGTTATAGAATCCGTTACAAGTAGTAGGAAAGAACAGGAGGGTTTCAGAAGTCAAACGATTAGGCTGTCACAGTTAGTCCTGGATCGTTTCTAAGGAATAGTCGCTAAGAATGGAAATCCATAACATCATGGTCTTACCTATCGTGAAGAGCTTCGTACATTCCCTCCCCAGCTCATTGCTTGCGCAGCACTTTATGTCTGTGCCAAATAACTCGTAGAGGACGCTCGCCTCCTTTGTAACAACAGCTGGGCTTTCTCCCGTACAGCTACGATTAGAAAATAAATGTCATTTCACTAAACACGGTTTAAAATTACAGATGATCGATCTACCGGATGATCCAGCAATCCCTCTACTGGGTATTTCACCCCAAAGACTTGAAAACTCATATCCGAAAAGATATTTGCACACGGATGTTCACAGCAGCATTATTCACAATGGCCAGGACATGGAAGCCACCGAAGTGTCCTACGATAGATGATTGGCTAAAGAAGCTGTGACACATATATACAATGGAATATCACTCAGCCACAAGAAGAGATGAAATACGAAAAGACTTGAAAATCCATATCTGAAAAGTGATTTGCACACCGATGTTCATAGCAGCATTATTCACATTGGCCAGGATATGGAAGCAACCGAAGTGTCCAATGATAGATGATTGGCTAAAGAAGCTGTGGTACATATATACAATGGAATATTACTCAGCCATAAGAAGAGATGAAATACGACCATTTGTGACGACCTGGATGGACCTTGAGATAATCATGCTAAGTGAACTAAGCCAGACAGAAAAAGTTGAAAATCACATGATATCACTTATGTGTGGGACATAAACCTAAAAGCAACAAATGAACAGGACAGACAAACAGAGACTCATGGACATGGACAATGGACTAGTGGTTACCTGAGGGGAGGGAGGGGAAGGAAGGGGGGAGGAAATGAATGACAAAAAAATAAAAATAAATAAAAATTAAAAAAATAAAATAAAATAAAATTACAGATGAATGTTCCGGAGAAGCACAAAGTTGAAGGTTCTAGAGCCTTTGAAAGAGTCCTTTATCAAGAGCCTATTTAAGAGCGCAAAGAAGGAGACAGGTGAAAAGGTAAATAAAAACCTAAATCTCTGGTTTCAGCAAAGTTCAGAAGAGAACTAGTTAGTCACTCGTGATCTCAACTAACGAGAATAACACTAGAGAGAATTACACAATAAAACGGTTTTAATTTGTGTGTTCGGTGACCTCCTTTTGTTGTTTAAAGAGAAAGAAAGAGAAGAATTGAGAAAGAAAACACAACGGACAGGGGTGGGGGGGGTAGAAAAAAGGAAGCACGATTCGATTTTCACACACCTCCATTTACACACACCTCCACACGGCAGGTATCTTTTCCTTGAGGCAATAAAGAGACAACCGGTGACGGGAGTGGGGGCGGGGTGGGGCGGAGAGAGGCTCGTTGCAAAAGTCGTCACCTCCCAGAGCCAACAAGAGAGCTGAGCCTCAGTGTCACTCCTGAGGACTGTCACCACGTTCCAGGACCTGGTGGGCCCCTCCCAATCCCACCTCAGCAGAAGGACTTCGGTTGCTCAGGAGTTTCCCAAAGCACATGTGGATTTTACTGTCTGTGTTGAGTCCCTTTTCTCTGCTTTATCACTTGAGGGAAATGTATTCTTTTCTTTGTTTATGTATCATTCCTTGATTTATTATTATTATTATTATTATTATTATTATTATTATTATTATTATATGACAGTAATTGGGTTCATTGTAGGAATTTTGGAAAATATAGAAAAGCCCAAAGAAAAGAATTTTAAATGGCCCAGATTCCTACCACCCAGAGGTGACAACCGTTATTATTTTAGTGTGTAGCTTTTCAATCATTTTATTTTTTCTGCACACACATTTCATATATATCTACAGGCAATCTCTTTTCCTTTTCTCTCTAAAATTCGGGATCGTATTCATATCATCCAGTAATCTTTCTTACCTATTCTCCTCTTTAGTCCCATTTTTCAAAAAAAGTCATTTGGTAAACTTTAATTAGTTCAAGTTGCATGAATTCTGACTTTGTGAAAACTTTTCTTACTTTGTGAAAATTTAGCTACACAGCACATACAAAAAACAAAAGTAAACAGTTATATGGTACCTACTATCTGCCAGGCACTGTTCTATATGCTTTGCAGATTTCAATTCGTTTAATCATCCTAGCAATCCTTGAAGTAGGTACTTTCGCCATCCCCATTCTTCTGATGAGAAAGGAGCGGTCAAGGGACTTGCCCAAGGCCACACAGGTAGTCAGCAAACCAGGGTTTGAACCCCGGCTGGATTCTGTGCCCTTAAACAATCTTATTAAGCCACTTTTCCAGAATAAACAGAACAATCACAAATTAAACATTTATTCACAGGGAAATCTCTTACTTAGAGGGAATCGTACACTAAAATCCATACCTTCCTTTTCCCCCCGGCCAGATGCTCAGGGAGCTAACAATCCTATAACTTAAAAGGGGTTTTATTTGTGTCATGTAATGTCCGGGGAGGACCCTGCAGCTGAGGGACACAACACAGGGGAGCCCCAAAAAGGCTCCTTACTAGAACATCCCATCATCCTCCCTGGGCGGTCCATGCTGATCGCTCTCGAAGGAGCCAAAGTTGCCTGTTAACGTGGTGACAAGTTCAACTGTCCAGACCATATGACGTCAGCTACATGAGGAAAAGACCACGAGTGTAAAGGAAGTGGCAGCTCCGTCCACACGGGCCGTACCTTTCGCCCTGTGAGTCGCAGAACACCCATTCCACAGTCGGTTCTGGAATGCTCTCGGATACGCACACCAGGGCATCTTGGTCTTCCATTTTTCTGAAATACGGTCTCCTTAAGGTGTAAAGCAAGGCATCTAAGGCATCACAAATTATGAAGATTTTAATATTTTAAAATGTTTTTTAATATCATTTAAAAAAAAAAAAAAACTACTGTTTTACACCACAGCAGTGTCTTCTGCTCCGCTCCAAATATATATAATAATAATATATCCCCTCCTCACTGAGATATTAAATTCAACCCTGGCTGAAACGCCAACGTCAGTATTTATCCTCTTAGCCAATTTCTTTGGGCATTTCGTACATCTGTAGACAACTAAAGCTGAGCGGAGTGAAGCCACGTAAAAATACAGATAACGTCGATACCCATGAGGAAAGGAAAACTGGAAATAACACAAAGTGGAAAACCCGTACTTATAAAAATATATAATAAAAAAAAAATCCATACGTAAATAGTTTAAGACCCGACTTTCTTCCCACAATTTTATCTAGATCTCTGTAGACATAGGTCGATTTAGAAATGCAGAAATATAGCAGGATGGAGTTAGAACTGGGACCTACTGAGAGGCTGGGTGTAGCCTCCTATTCACGTGGACCATACCGCCTCGTCCCTCCCACATCTCCCACCCTTCACGGCGCTTCACATCCGAACTTTCTTTCTACTTCTGGAACCACTCTGGGGACAAGAGGTCACTACCTCCCTGAGAAGGTCACTCCATTTTTAACAAACCTCTTTTTTTTTTTAAGAAAGTTTCTCTATGCTAAATTCCAATCTCCCTTCTTACAATAAATTTTAAAGTTATTATTTAGTATTTTATATGTACATATATATGCACAAAAGAATATACGAAGTATAAAATTTGGAAGCAGAATAATAAAAATGAATATAACCCTGGACCCATACCCAACTTAATAACCGGAAATATTAATAAACATCTTCGAATCTACTTTTGTGCTTCTCTCCATCTCTCGACCCCAGGTAACCTGTATCCTGAATTTTGTGGTTATCATTTCCGTGCTTTTAAACATATTTTCACCACATAGATATATGGCCCTAAACAACGTTTTCGTTTGTTTTGCTCGTTTTTAGCTTCAACAGAGAGTTTCACTCAAAAAACAATGATACCTTCTTCACTTCACTTTCTCATAGTTTCATTTTCTCACCCGACCTTATGTTTTATGCTATACTTTGTTCAATTTTTTTTTTCTTTCTACTGCTACGTGGTATTCCATTGGCGAATACATTACGATCTTATTCCGCTTCCTTGTGGTGGACGTCTAGATGGTCCCCAGTTTTCTGGGTCACCAAAAATGGCTCTTTGAACACTGTGTACACTCCCACTGAGGCAGCGTGTAAGCTTCTTAGTGACACGCTCAGCAGCGGAGCTGCTGGTCTACATGGTGTGAGCACGTTCGGTCTTAGACACCATGACAATCGTGTTTCCCAAAGCGGTTGCACTAATTTCCACTTACACAGCAGGCCGTGAGAGTTCCCGGCTCTCCATATGCTAACCGAGACGAATTTTCAACAATCTCATGGGTGTAAAATGGGATCCTGTCGTGGTACTCATTTGCATTTCTCGATTATCAATTTAACATATTTACTGACCATTTGGGTAACATGTTCTGAAAGTGAAATGACCCCTCCTGTCTTTCGTTCATTTTTTTTACTGTTTTTTTTTCCTTATGGATTTATAGGTGCTCTTTATCTATTATGACTATTAATCCTTTGTTGAGTATGTGAACTGCAAAAATCTTTCCCATTGTGTGGTGGTTTTTTTCTTTCTCTCCCTGTAATTTCTGACCATCGGTCTCAATTCTACCTTCCAGAGAGATTTTTTTTTAAGTGTAGCTTTGCTCCCACATGATAATCTTTCACGTATTTCAAGTCAGAAACCAAGGTCAAGGGAGATAACTACCATGCAAGGTATTTGAACTCGTGAGCCCATCGGAAGAATTTCTTCTCCATTACACTGCAACAAATCTTCTCCTCTCCTCCAAATAGTTCCTTCCCTATGCTTGACGTTCCCAATTCCGTGAGCTGCTCCTAACCTAGGGAATTCCAAGTTCTCCACGATTCTGGTTTCTCTGTTTGGTCACCATTCATCACTGACACTACAGAACTGGAAATAATAATCTTCCACGAATTTCCTTCACCCAGACATTATATTTTCATGAATGCTGCCAAGGTTCAGATTTCCTTTTTTAGCAACTATGCTATACTGTTGGTTAACACTGAACTTGTGGTTTACTAAACCCTTTCCTCTTTTTTTATACTGACTATTGCCAAGTCTCCCCGACCTGATTTTTTTGAACCCACCACGCAGCAGAACGCTAAAAGCAGGTTGCGATTTACTAGAACGATTGTCGTTACGTTTTTACGTCGTAAATCTTGAGTGAAAAGAAGGTACCCTAAATAAAATAGGGACCAAGTAGATGCCCGGTTACCTTAAAGAAATTCGACTATAAACACTTGGTGACGACTGGGGAGGGGACAGGGAACAAGACTGAAATGAAAGGGTGACAGAAGGCACCTCTCGTCTTTTGAGCCTCTAGGGCTCTGGTCCCATAAATTTCAGAGTCCTTGAAGGGCTTTTCAGGACAAATTTTGATTTTACCTGCTTTTTGCCTTACTATAGAACCTAACACCCCAACCCCAACCCTGGGAAAGTGACACTTTATGAATCTAAACGGCCACATGTGCTCTTGCTGTTAGCAGCTTGGGTGGCAAGCCCCAGCATGGTGGTGCAGGAAGTGTAGACCTGGCCACACTCGGCTCTGGCCGTGCCCATCGCCACCCCCCTGAGCATCCTTCCCTCGCCTGTGTGAAGATGGCATCGCTGTGAGGACCCAGATGGCACATGCAGAACACCCTTGGTGAGGGTTATTCCTAAGCAGGGTACCCCTGGGGGCTGGAGGCGCACGCACCACACCCCAATTTTGTGTCTTCCAGTCACTGACGAGGAGGGAGGCCCAGCAAGTCGGACCGATGGGCAGCCAGGGGACCTAATTTAAAACGGCACAAAACCGGAGTTTTTGAGACTGTCCTGGCCCCTAAAGGCAGTAGGTAGGGCCTGTGTGAACGCACCCACCTCTGGGTCTCACCTGTCACAGGATGTAAAGCGTTCAGGGCACGTGGCGTGAATCTGTACGATCGCCAGGCCCTTGCACAACTAGGGGGAAACAAGGAGACGCCGGAAGACACAGACAGGTGGCGGTTCCGCCAACCGCACGGTTGCTTCCCTGGTTACGAGCGTTTGAGTTCCTGCTTACAGTTTGTGTAGTGATCTGGCCTTGGTGTAAATGCAGTCGCCAATATGTGGTTACTTAAACTCCATTTTTACTTTATTAAAATTATGAAATTAAAATTACTTTATTAAAATTATGAAATTAAAATTACCTGATTAAAATTATGAAATTCAAATTACTTTATTAAAATTATGAAATTAAAATTACCTTATTAAAATTATGAAATTCAAATTACCTTATTAAAATTATGAAATTCACATTACTTTATATTCTACCTTCCAGAGAGATTAAATTATTAAAATTATGAAATTAAAATTACTTTATTAAAATTATGAAATTAAGATTTTGGTTCCTGGGTCACGCTGGCCACATGTTAAGTGTCCGACAGCCACCTGCCTCCAGTGGCTATCATACCAGAAGGAGCAGACACAGACATTGTCATCGTCACAGAGAGTTCTATCGGACAGTGCAAAGATCTTACGAGCCCCTGAGGTATGTAGTTTGATCCCTATTTTACAGATAAGGAAATCGAGGATCAGGGAGTTTAAGCGACCCGCCAAAGGTGGTCCTAGCAGATCCAGAATAAGAACCCGGGACTTCTGATCCCAAGGTCAAAATAAATATTCTCCATTTCTTCCCTGTCAGCCATCTGTCACTGACCGCAAAAAGAAAAGGGGGGGAAGGGCCTGGAAAGAGGAAAGTCCTGGGCTTTTCAGGGTGCTCATACTGATAGTCCACGGGTCACGCCGGAGAGTCTCGACAGATTAAGAGGACAGCTGAAGATTCAAGTACATGTTGAAGGAGACCGAATATTGTGTCCAGAGCAGATGGGGACAAAGCCCGGGGGTTCTAAACAACGTCACGGTCAATTGCGAAGACCTAGTAGCAAGCTGCACTTACTTCTTATACTCACTGTAAACAATACTGTGTAATTGGTCGCTTCGCTCTGAATAAAAAGTAGGTATTCTCCAGCTTGGGTTTCTGTCATTTTCAAAATGAACATGGAAACAACTCCTCTGAAAAACAAGAAAGAGAACTGGCTATTTTGGAAAGCGTGTGAAACTAAAAACACAAAATTTCACCTTGAGTCAGAGGCGGTGGGGCGGCTGCCGTATTCCATCTCTGACTGTGGGCGCGGACGGCTGCCCTGGGGAGGACACAGCTCACGTCATGTGCCCAACACTCAGCCTGAGACTCGTTAGTCTGACCTTGACTTCCAAGCAGTCCCTCCCTTGGGAGTGAGGGACCTGCATTCCCAAAGCCCCTTGAGGGGACATCTTACACCCAAAAACGCAGAGGCTTGGTGGCGTGTCCCCATGGGCAATGGCGGACTGTTCCCTTCAAGGACAAAGCACCTTCCAAGTCCACACCGGCCACCAGCCTCAGTTCCCCACCTGCAGAATCGGATCACCCAACAACCAAGATACAAGCGAGATATCCATGTGTGCCTCTCTCTCCCTAGATGAAAGGACTCAAGCAAAATCTGACACAAGGCATTTTCCTATGAAGTAATAATACATCAACATATCACATGGATGTAAGGAGGAAGCTGTCTCGATGTCCGTATTTTTAACTTTTCAGATATTTCGTAAAGATAAATTTGGCCAGGGGGGTTCTCTTCGAAGAAACAGCTTTGATGAGTGTTTGGTGATGCCTGTTCTCATGAAAGCTTAAAATATTCTCTAGCAGTTTGCTGAGTGAGGTTGGATGTGAGTGTACACCTTCTGGTTTCAGCCCCTTACTACTCAAAGTGCGGCCTTTCTTCTGCCATGTCGGCATCAGCTGGGAGCCGACAAAGATGCAGACTCTTGGGCCCCAACCAGGCCTACTGGACCAGAATCTGCATTTTAACAAAATCCCCAGGCCATCCAAACGCACCCCTCCACGGCAGGACCCCGAGCGACAGAGTTCAAGAGTATTTGTGCTTTGAACGATGGACCTAGAGGGTGATTATGCTGAGTGAAATAAGTCAGACGGAGAAAGACAAATACCACAGGATTTCACTCATACGTGGAATCTAAGGAACAAAATAAATGAACAAACAAAACGGAAACAAACTCATAGATACAGAGAACATTCTGATGGCTGCTAGATGGGAGGGGGGTTGGTGGGTGGGTAAAAAAAGGGGAAGGGATTAAAAAGTACAGACTGGTAGTTACAAAATATTCACGAGGATGTAAAGTACAGTATAGGGAATATAGTCAGTAATACTGTAATAACAATGTATATGGGGGGATTACTTCATAAACCATATAAATGTCTAACCACCATGCTATACACCTGACACTAATATAAAAAAATATTGAATGTCAACTCTAAGTGAAAAATAGGTAAAAATTTAAAAATAACCAAATTTTTAACCTAAAAAAAGAATATTTGTGATCATACTCATACTGACAGTAAATTAGGGGTTATGTAGTTGATTTGTTTCTGCTGATTTTTGGTAACGTGCCTTCTTCCCCCGAACCGATCCCTCTCCTTGTATCATTTGTGAACTCTTGTGAATATCATACGCAATTATAAGGCAGTTATCAAAGCTTAGGTGTTCCATCTTTCTGGCTCTAAGTCAGAGTCCAGATAAAAATTTCTACACTTCTCTACTGTGAAAAAGTCACTAAAAATGTTTTGGTACTTAATGCCTCCTGATTCACTAACTTAACCCACACAAGTCCTTTGACTTTGGCTAGCAAACGGGCCTGCCTTTCCTAAAATGAAAAAGACCACCTTTCCCTGAGTGGAAGAATCCAACCTTTTCACTTTGCTTTTGGGTCGCAATCCAGTCAGAACTTTTGTGCCATTGGAGTTTAATAAGATCGTCGAAACATTTTTAAGTCAAAATTCTTAATAGGAGAGGGTTTTGGTTTAACCCCAAGACAAAGGTAACCGAAAAACAGAAGTGAGTAATACAGTTTCAAAAGAGGAAAGGAAAATAAATATGTTCCGAGATTTAGAACCAAACTTCAGAATTACAGACACCGTCCCGAAAATTACTTAAGAGTTTATTCGATTTTAAAGAAACAAATAGAAATTGGTACAAGTCCATCCCAGAGATGATCCCCCATATCTGATTCAAGCAGCCTGATACCCCCATTAGGTCATTCGGGTGTCATTTACTGCCTTGTTTCTAGAAAGACAAAACTTCTATAGCTATGGGGGCACCAGAACACTTCCCCCTCCCCGCCCCCCGCCACCAAGAATTAGTGAATCAGGAGGCATTAGAATTATTTAAATGGCCTGTGCCTCTTGCTTCCTGTCCCTATCTGGTCTCAGTAAGATGACAGGGACAGCAAGGGACAGCAATGGCAAGGACAGCCATCAGGACAGAGTTAGATACAGGCTTTGATTTCAATCCGCAAATCTTGGCTGAGATACTTTTCTGGGTCATGAGACCAATGTTCCTCTCGCACAGATCAATTTCTTACTAAAATATTTTATGGATATCACATTGCAATTCCGCTCATCACACCGTGAAACAAAATAGGTAAAAGCAAACGTTCTTTCCCCAAGCATTTCCCAAAAAGAAGCTTCTCATACTGTAACTAGAAGGTGATGAAAACTTTCTTTTTCTCTTTAAGACAAAGTCCAATTAAAAAACAAGACACCTTAAAAAATCCCGAATAGTCTTTTCACTATGTTTTACATTTTACCAGCTACTCACTGCTCTCTTAGGCCCTAACTATACCTTTATATCTGTATATAATTTTTTAAATTAATGGTCTTTTTTTTAGAACAATTTTAGATGTCCGGAAAAATTGAGCAGAAAGTACAGAGAAATCCCACATATACCCTCCCCCTACCCCCAGGCTTCCCTCTTATAAACTTCTTACTAGGTGAGCTATATTTGCTACAATTGACGAACCAATATTTATATTAACTAACAAAGTCGATAGTTTACATTAGCTTTGTGTTGTATGTTCTATGGGTTTTGACAAATAGATAACGTCGCATATCCACGCCCTCACTATATTTCAGTTCATTATTTCACTGGAGATAAGTGTTACAATGGACAGGTGCATAAATTCGAAAAGAAACTCTAAATGAAGCAAAAAGCATTCTTACAGCGAGAAAGTCTTCCTCCAAAAATTCTTACGTTTGCACATCTACCCTTCTCCCTTACCTGTTTTGCAAATCAAAGTGTGGTTGGCAATTCAGAGAGCTGTGTTTAAAGACCCAGAGACAGGAAATGTCCCCTGGGGTGTTGACCAGCACTTGGAGTGTGATGGACGCAGACATGTCTACCTCCACAGCTGTTTCGTAGACCATCTCTGAGCTCCTGGTCCTCAAGGCACAGCCGAGGTCTTCTGGAGATTCTGACGGCTGCATCACCAAAGAAACAACATGAATTTACTACCAGCGCATGTTTAATGAAATCTCATCTCAGCTGGAACCTTTACCAAATGCATACATGCTGACACACGGCACACAACGCCCAAGCGTGTCATAACCCATGGACAACACGCGTCATAACCCGTTGAAACATCCCATTCACTGTAAGTCTCTAAAGAAAATATAACTTAAGGCCGCATTACTAAAGTGTTTTACAGGCTGTTATGGGTTGAATCGTGTCCCACCCAGTAGCTCAGAATGTGACCTTGTTTAGAGAGGAAGTCTCCACAGAGGTCATCGAGATGACACGCACACAGGGAGAACACCACGTGAACATGAAGATGTCACGTACGAGCTGCGGAGAGAGGCCTGAAATGGACCCCTCCCTCGCAACCTTCAGGAAGAACCAACCCTACTGACGTGGAAAGTCCAGATTTTTGGCCTCCAGACCTGCGAGACAATAAATTTCTGTTGCTTACGTCACCCGGTCCGTGATATTTTGCCATGGCAGCTCCAGCAAACCGATATACAGACAACAATCACAAAATTTGTAATACAGAGGTAAATGTTTTCGCGATTATTTGTATGCAAATAAGAATCTGCATAGTAATAGTAAATTGGTATTTGTGTTAGAGGGAATTTAAAAACCAAAATATTTTCTGGGTGGATATTCCTCCTAGGCTCATTGCCTCACCGTGCTCCTCGCCTGCTTCAAAAAATTGAGATTTGTTAAGAGGAGGGTGTGATAACAACTTCTGCTCCTGGCCCCTTCACCTCCTACCCCCTGACGCGCAGCATGGCTCACGTGCATACACACAGACATATACACGCACAGACACACGCAAAGCTTCTTTAGGGGAAGGGCAGGGGAGCTCGTCTGCTCCTGAACTTAAGTCAGTATTTCTGGTTTTATTTGTTCCCTTATTCGGTTAGTATCAGATAAGTTCATTCGGTCAATATCTGATAAGGTGCTAGATCATCCGCTGGGTACTCTGAATCTAGAAAGAAAAGACATTAATTTTGCTCTTAAAGAGTTTTGAGTCTAGTAGGAAGAAATAAGTAAAACACGAGGTGAAATATAAGGTGTCCCATAAAAAGATACAAACTACTGTGACAGGTAACTTTAAATGCCCTGGAACATCAGGAGAGATAGAGGTGGCCCCCAAGCTGGGGGTGGGGAGTAGGAGGTGGGCATGCCTTACTGAGGTCCGGCAATAAAGCTGAAGCATAAACGATGGGCGTAGAATAAAGTTTTTTTTAAAACTGATAAACTAGAAGAAAATAACTGCAACGTATATTACAAATACAGGACAAATACCCCTGACATGTAATTCTTAAAAATCGAGGGACACCGGACCAAAATCACAGCAGAAAAATGGGAAAATGAGATAAATAGACAATTCGTGCATACACACACACGCACGCACACACGCACACACAAAGGATATCAAGAATGGCTCTTGAACAGATGAGAAATGTTCAAACTTGCGTATAAATAGAGAACTGTAAAACAACACTGATATATATACATATATATGTACATATATATGTGTATATATACATATATATGTATATATATCACTTCTTATTTATGTATATATATATACACATATATATACATGTACATACATATATACATATATATATGTATATATCACTTCTTATTTATTAGACTGGCACGCGTTTTAAAGTACGACAACACATTTTGATGGCAAGGCCGTGAGGGAACAGCATCTTTCATACATGGCCGAGGGAATGCAAATTGGTATGGGCCTCCTGGAGGGGAATTTGGCAATACCTAATAAAACTACATGTGCACTCACCCTTTGAACCAACAATCTCTCTTCTAGGAATATACCTCCGACAATTAACCACAGAGCCATTTGTAATGGCAAAATGTTAGAAATAACCTAATGCTCATACACAGGACAGTGGCTGAATACTCGGTGGCAAAGCCACACGACGGGATCTTGTGCAGCAATGAAAGAAAGGTCTCGATGAACTGACTTGGAGTGATTTCCTGGGTATGCTGTTACGTGAAGAAAGCTAAATGCAAAAAATAGCTACCGTCAAGTATACTACACTTCTCGTAAAAAAGGAGAGGCTATGAGAAAATCCACATGTATCTGCTCATCTGTGCACAAAACACACAGGAATAATACCAAAAATCTATAGGGATTGGTTAAGTACAGAACTGGGTGGGAAAAGGATAGAAACTTGGTAATAGAGATGAAGAGGAAGTGACATTTCTCTGAGTATACCTTTTTATATAGCTTTGGCTTCTAGGGCCATAATCCTGTTTCCTATACTCAAACAATGAATAATTACAACCCATCAGGATATGGGAGGAACTCAAAATGGCACACGAACCCAATGAACTTAATGGGTAACGAATAAATAACATAACCATAGTGAAGGGGGTGGGAAACCAAAGAGGAACCTGAGTAGCTTAGAAAAATAATACTTTGGACACAATAAGATAAAAGACAAAAAGAACTGTAACACGAATACTGTATGCTGGTTAGTAAGCCCATTGCTCTGTGGGATGCGGGTTAATGATTCTGCAACTAGTTTATGTATACACTAGGATTGAATACATAAGGAAATTATTATAACGAGAGCCAGCTTTCTACCTGTCAGAGAGAGAAGTACAAATAAGGAGAAAAAGGAAAAAAAAAATAAAGAAAGAAGGAAAGTTAGAATGAACTGTTTGGTACCACACTGAAATTAGAATTATCAGCATGAACTTATGGTGATCGATAGAGGTAGAGATGATAGAGAGAGATAAATATCGTGGGGAGGGAGGTTAGCAAACACACACACACACACACACACACACACACACACACACACAATTTCCTAGCTCTGCCTGCTGACAAGAGCTGGAAACAATGACATCCCAGTGGCAATGAGCACTCCCAACCCTGAGATCTTGGTTTCTAAACACTCTTCTCTGAGAAACCAGCACTCTTGGGAGAACTGGTTAATTCCAGGGCTGAGGCAGGAAAAATACAAGACGAGCCTGAGCTACATCGTTCTGTCGATAAGGAAGCAAGCACTTGAAAAAAGGTGGCTGCACATTGAAAGAATACAGGAGCCAACCCAAAGTAGCGCCCAACGGCCAAAGAAGGGAACAATTTGTACCACAAAATAAAAATGGTAGTTTCAGGTTATAACCCATAGAATGAAATACATATTTATGAGCCCATACTGATATAACGAAATCATCGATTAAATGAATAAGAAAAATGGAGAGAAGGGATAGCTCTTCCCAGAAGAATGTTGATTAATAAACGTAGAGGGAATGAGAGAATATGAAAATCAGCATTGGGCAAACATCACAGTAAGAACTGTTGTGGACAAAGATCCATCAGTGGGAGCTCAAATCAGTTTTTTTTAAGAGAAAAAGGGTATTCACATCCCCCTCCTACCCAAGTACTTGTTCATTACAAAGCAAGAGTAGTAACTCTGCAGGGGAGAAACTCAGCACACCATCTGAATCTTCAAAGAGAAATGATAAACGATGGAAATGTTCAGACTTTTAACAAAAATTAAATGGATTATGGGAATGGCGACGTCATCTGATTTTGGTCCCAGGGTATTCTGGTAACATGAGAGCTAAGGATGTAGGTGCTTTTTCATTAGAGGTGCACGGATGGTTCTGTCTACTAAAAAGAGCTGGTTTATTCAAGACGCTGCTGAGATGTAGATTTCCAGAAAGATGTCTCTTCTGAGAACTGTGAACTGTGAGAGAAATCAAAATCTTTTTTTTTTTTTTAAATGAAAGCCACAGACATCCTAAAAGGCCCACTTCACACAGAAGTGGGAAAATCCCCAAACGGAACAGCCTCAGCATCAAGGAGATGATAAGACACGATGAAGACTGCTCACTTTTGCCACAGTTGGGGTTCACACAGTTGTCTGTTTAGTGTCGTTTAAGAACCACTGACTCCTGGATAATGCCTAAGAATGTAACGCATACTATGTGAAGAAATAACGCAAGACTTACTGATAGGGACCAAGGCCAATCATTGTTAATTTTTTTTAAGGTTGTGTTTCATAAGAAAACACGTCAACTTATGTTGAAAAGACACTAAAAGTTTACAACATCATAGCAAATAACATTAAATTTTTTTTGTCTGCACAGAAATACTGTGTATGCAAAATGCTGTAATTACTAATAAATCAGTGTGTTATGATACCGATATCTATTTAAAAATTAAAACCAACCATGCTTCTGGCACTAAAAAAATCATGCATTAAATTAGGTGTTTTACGTTCATGTAGCATGTTGTCATTAAAATCTATTTCACATCTGATCTTGGAAACTAAGCAGGGTTGGGCCTGGTTAGTACTTGGTTGGGAGACCACCTAAGAAGACTGGGTGCTGTAGGCATAAAAAAAAAAAATCCTATTTCACACCGATTTTAAAATTTGAGAATATTTCTAATATCTCTGACTTGTTAGGGAGGCGCATAGGTTATCACATCATGTGTTTGTGTGCTATAGCTATGCAAAAACCAGCAACTGTGTATTAGTATAAATCCTTAACTAGACATGTCTATGGAATGGGCTAATTGAGGTTCGCTTTTTATCTATAGACTTCTTTCTTTATATAGACGTCTAATATTTTCAGTTCTCTACCGTTCGAACGTCTTTCATTTGAGTAAATATCTAGGCGAAATTCAATGAACAGCAAGAAGGAGAAGATTAATGAGTATCAAGGCTGAAACTTGAAGGAGCCAAAAGCAGACTATGGAACTATCCGCATGTCAGTCTAAGTCATGAGAAGTCACTGAAGGTCCCACGTCTGGCAGTAAAGGATGAAGCCATACTTCGGGATGAATAAATAGCCTGGCGGCCCATCTGCGAACTAGTAAAGAAAAAAAAAAATTGACGGCACTTGGTAGCTGATCGAATGAGAAGAAGGCGGGGGAGAAGTAAATACTCCAAAATGAGGCCGAGCCTCCAAGCCTGGGAACGAGACAAGGCCAAAAGCAGAAATCGATTAATACAAGAATAGGAGCAGGTTTGGGGAAACGGAAATGAAATAAAAGATGGAAGTGGACTTTAACGAGCAAATGGAAAATGTATTTATCTATATGCAGGAGGCAGCTGGAAATTGGGGACTTAGGCTTGAGAGAGAAGCCCGGATTCTCTCTAAGGAGGAAGAGAAATTCCTGCTTCTCATTCAGTATCAGCATCCTTCCCAAAACCAAACCCAAAGAGAACGTGACCCTCATGCAATGGAGAGCCAGGTAGTAATGAGCATAGATGCTCGCCTGTTCCAGATATGAGTATATGATATGCTTGGACACATAAAAAGAAAGGCCCATGTAGACACAGTGGGTCTCATTAGCTTCCAAAATATGGTTTCCAGAGAAAATAGCTAAAGTTATAATATTAGTATTACTTTACCTTGGGATACTGTGATGATATCCCCACTGATGAATCATCGTTCTTATGATTGATTAAAAGACACTTGATCGCAGGCAGATCTTGATTTGTAATAGTCTCAAATATGAAGGCCGAAAAAACAACTGTAAAACAAAACAAAGGCAAATATGTATTCATCTTGCAACAAAACAACAGAACAAAAGGTAATCAAAGAAAAGTGGACGACAGGAAAGTTTGCAGGAAATATAATCTTATCCAGAGCCTCTTACTGTGCAGAGGTTCTCATAGTCCTCAGCCACCTGTGGCAACTAAGCATTTAAAACAGGGCGAGTGCAACTGAGGGGCTCATCACGAGGATACGAGCCATTTCTTCTTCTTCGTGGATGCTTGTAGAATCTTTCCTTCGTGCATTAAAATTTTCAAAATTAGGTGCTTTTGTGGGAGTCTATTTTCATCCGTGACGTTAGATACTCAGTGGGCCTTTTCAATCTAGAAACTCATCTTCTTCTCTTCGGAGACGTTTTCTTAAATTGTCTCTTTGAATCCTTCTTTCTCCTTCACTTTGTTCTCTTCATATTAAGATGTTTTCTTTTTTTTTTTTCCCAAATGGCTGATGATCCTTGACAGGCTGCTCGTGTAAGAACGAAGCACAAATGATCACGTAAGCTCGGTGCACAAGCTTTGATCTGCTGTCTGATTTTTTTTTTTTTTTTTCCAAATGGCTGATGATCCTTGGCAGGCTGCTCGTGTAAGAACGAAGCACAAAATGATCACGTAAGCTCGGTGCACAAGCTTTGACCTGCCGTCTGATCTTCTCTGTGTGGTTATCTTTAGGTGTGTTCACGGGCTGGTCATATTCCCCAAAGAGGCAGTCTCTCTCCCGCCTGCTGGCCATGTTGTAGGCGCTGGTGCTGGCAATCTATATACTCTTTTGGGATCCTGCAGTGGGAATCAGATTGCTTCTCAGCTTTCTCAACCCAACGATTCAGCTTTCTTGATATGTTTTCAAGCTCTAAAAATGTTATTTTCTCCTTCCCCATTATCTTTGTCCTTATATGTTTATGTCTTAAAAGTTTTTTTAATTGTCATTTGAGCGTACACAGGAGGTAAATTTACGTGTTCAACCATGTATGTACCTCGTAATCTGCTCTAAAATCTCAGTATTGCAGCTATGGGAACTACATATTAAGACACATTTGCTGTTTTGTCTTAATCTGTCTTTATTATTTTATTCTTCATTGAAGAAGCCACATTATACCAATACTAGTGGAACCAGACATGAAAATTCACTCTAAATTCTGACATCCTAACGAATAATTTTTATTTCTCTAGAACCATTCTCATCTGTACACGTAGTTTTCACTTCATTGTATCGATAGTGTAGAAATCATTTTATATTCTGATTTAAACATAATATATCACACGCATTTCTCGTGATGATGCATAGAATTGCTTTGCATTCCTTTAGGAAATCTAAAATGACCCAATCATTTCCCCTGCTACCACCATTTTATGGTTTTTCCCTGAAATACTTCACTAAGCCTTTCACTTTTAAAATATCATTTCCTTAGTATAAATTTCTGGAAATGGAATTAGTGGATCAAAGGATACAAACATATTTAAATGGTTCTCGATATGCGTTGCCGTGTTGTTTTCCAAAGATGCTATTCCATTTCATGTTGCCACGTGGGAGGTGAAAATGTAATAATTTCACTACAACCTCATTAGCATTCAGTCATTATGAATTTTTTATTTCCCTTAATGTAGCCCCTAGTCTTTTAAAGGAAACTAAATGAGCACAACTGTAAGGGTAAGGAAAAAAAAGAAAAAAAGACTGAAAAGAGTTTAAGAAACTTTCCTGCCCTGCTCCCTAATGTGTTTTCTGCCTACTCTTTTTTACGAGTTTTATTCAGTATAGTTAACATGCAACAAATTGAACACATTTAAAGTATATAACCGGATAAGTTTTGACATAAACACACACACACACACACACACACACACACACACACACACACACACACACCTGTAAAATCATCACTGCAGTCATATAGAAGTCTTGGTATGGACATACGCTTTCGTTTTTCTTGGTAAATACTGAGGAGTGGCACACCTGGGTCAGGTGGGAGGTGTCGGTGTGACTTCAGTGCCAAACTCTTCTCCAGAGAGGTTTTATACCTTTTCATATTTCTGTCGGCAGCTTCTGGGCATTCTGGTCATGCCATATCCTCACCAATGCTTGGTATGGTGAGAATTTTCTATTTCAGCCGTTCTAATAGATGTATTCTTTCTCACTGTAGTTTTCATTTGCATTTTTCTACTCGTGATAGGAAGCATCCTTTCGGATGCTTATATGACACCTGTGTATTCTCTGGCAATATGTCTGTTCACGTCTTTTGCCCAAATCAAGTCTTTTTAAATTATGTTGTTTATTTTCTTATTATTGAGTTTCGAGAGTACTCCACCCCCAGTTTTACGGGGATATTAACAACATGTAACAGTGTATAAGGTTAAGGTATAAAACATCATGATTTGATACATGTATATATTGTGACATAGTTACCACAATGAGTTTAATTAACATCCATCGCCTCACTTATTTACAATTTCTTTTTTGTCAAGAGAATTTGTAAGATCTACTCTTAGCAACTTTCAAATACATAATAAAGTATTCGTAACTATCGTCACCCTGTTGTACATTACATTGTGAATTTGACCTGGTGTCAGATGCTTTTGTAGTCTATTATGTACTCGTGAACTTTTTTTCTGGGACACAGTTAAGTTCATTTGCAAACGCTTTGTTCCTTTCAGGTCTTGCTTTTAAGTCTGGTTAGATGGGACCAGAGAGGTGTTCAGTCCAGGACTAATTTTTTTTCCACTAGTGGGCTTCATCAAAATTAATAATTCATGCTCTTCAAAAGACACTGGTCAAAAATTGAAAAGACAAGCTACAGAATGGGAGAAAGTATTTTCAAAACACATATCTGAAAAAGGACGTGTATCCAGAATACACAAAGGACATTTCAAACCTGATTAAAACAAACAAACAAAAAATCCTGATTAAAACAAAACAAAACAAACAAACGAAAAAATGGGCAAATGCTTTCAGGAGGCACTTCAACAACAACAAAAAAATAGGTTGGCAATTAAGCACACAGAAAGATGATCAATATCATCAGGCATTAGAAAAATGCAAAATAAACCACAATGACATATTGCTACACCCCTATTAGAACGATTAAAAACGCAAAAGCAACAACTGGCCATCCCAAGCGCTGACAATGATGTTGAGAAACTATGATTCTCAGACATTGTTTGTGGGCGTAAAAAACGCTACAATCGCTTTGAAAAACTGGCACTTTCTTGTAACACTGAACGTTCATTTAGCATACAGTCTAGAAACACGACACCACCCTTAAGTATTTACCCAAGAGAAATTCAAAGCCATGCTCACACCAAAACCTATATTCAAATATTTATAGCCGCTTTATTTATAATTGCCAGAAACCAGGAGCAAACTAATGAACTCCAGCCGGTTAATGGATGAAGAAACCATGACATATCCATACAATGGAATACTATGTAGCAATAGAAAGGAAAAATATAGAGATACTCATAAAAATAAACTGATACACATAACAACATGGATAAATCTCAAATAATTATGCTATGTGAAAGAAACAGATTCAAAAGGCTGCAGGTTATAAAATTCCAGTCATAGACAACCTGGAAATGGGAAAATTATAAGGAAAGAGATCCTGGTTGTCAGGGGCTGGGCGTGGGCATGAAGCTTGACTAGAAGGATGGAAGGGAAGTTTGGGGCAAAATGGAAATGCTCGAAATCGTAATAGCGGTGGTAGTCATGTGACTGTCTGTGTCAGTGAAACACATGAAACCAAACACTAAAAAAGGTGAAACTTGGTCTACGAAAATTGTACGTCCATCCTGGCTTTTAAAAAGCCCAGGGAAGAGTTTGCCACCATCGACAGTGAGGTTCTTCCTGAGAAACCGTTCCAAAACCTCTCAGAGTCCAGCTAAACCAACCACAGAAAGTCAGGGCACCTCATTGACAAACCTTTCAACCCAAGTCCCTTCTGAGGCAGAAAACTGGATGGGGCTTGCTGATTCCCAAGTCTCTCTCCTTGGGGGTTATCCACTTTGATAACTTTGAATTTCAGCAAGTCATTTAATCACCTTCAGCCCCATTTTCCTTGCCTGGTAAGAGAGAGCACAATAGACAGCTGTGGTATAGTGAAGAATGTATTTGGACTTAATTCCTGGCACCATGGGGAGTGATGGGAGTGTCTTTTGTCATTCCGAAGGGGCCCCTCTGGAATGCTAATGAGGTCACTTAGATAGCCTCAGGGTGGGGCTGGTCACCAGAAAGACCTAGTGACTAGAGGATGGGAGCTTTCAGCCCCGCCCACTGACCCGGGCGGAGGAAGGAGGAGAAACGTCTGCAGATGACCTCCCTGAAAATTCTTAGGCTGAGACAGGTGATGAGTTTCTGGGTTGGTGAGCATGTGGAGGTGCTGGGACAGTGGCTGCCTAGAGAGGACACAGGAGTTCCAGGCCTCTTCCCACGCACCTGTGCATCCCTTCCGCCTGGCTGTTCCTGAGTTACGTCCTTTTATATTAAACTGCTGATCCAGTAAATAAAACGTTCTCCTGAGTTTGGTGAGCTGCTCTAGCAAATTAATCGAACCATAGGAGAGGGTCAAGGGAACCTCTGGTGACAGCCTGTCGTCAGAAGCCCAGGGGACACCCGGAAGGAAGGGACGTGGGGGTCCTGAACCCTTTGACCTGTGGGATCTGACGGTGTCTCCAGTTAGATAGCGTCTGAACTAAGTTACATCGTAGGACACTCATGTGGTGTCGTGGACTCGCTCGGTGTGGGGACACCGCCCCCACACGCGTCGGTGGCTCGTGCCAAACTGTTCAGTATTAGTAGTGATGTGGGTAGAGGCAAGATCCACAGGAGTGTGTGTTTTTCCCTAGAACCGAGTAGCTCAACCTGTCTGAACTCAGTCTAGACTTTCTCTGTAAGTTCTCGTGACCTCGACCATTGTCCATTGGCTGGCGAGTTCCATACCTCATTGCGTGTACCGCTGTATACCCAAGTGGTTTCCAGGAACCTCCACCTCGGGTTGAACTTGCCTTTTTCCTTCTGAAACCTACTCTTTCTTCCATCTCCTCTTTCAGTGGCGACACAGCCACTGTCGCTAACGCCAGAAACCCAGAGGTCACTTTTGGCTCCTCCCTCTCCTTCACCTCCCATCATCCAGACAGTCACCAAGCCCTGACCTTTTAATCTCTCGATAATTCCCAAATCTATCTGCAGCTCTGCTCTAACTCAAGCCCCCCTCGGCACCTGGCCTGGACCACAGCCACAACTCTCTGCCACGGTCATGTCAGCCTGCCATCCGTCCTCCATACGGACAACAGAATCTTCTTTCTAAAATCCAATGCAGAGTGTGTCACTCCCATTTAAAACCCCTCAACTTGCAGCAATGTTTCTTAGAGTTACAGACCACTTTGAAAATCTGATGAAGCAAGTACCTCTCTCTCCAAAAAAAAATAAAATAAAATACCATGTGTACACCCACCTCCCCACCCCCCACGCACACCCCCACACACCCCGAGGGACACAATGGACCCTCGAATTCCATCCAGACCCTCTTGGTCTATATGATAAAGTTCGAGTCCCTTATCACGTCACTAAACACTCCTTAGACATCACACACTGAGCCCGTGGCACCCCTGACATTTGTAGAACGCTAACCATTGCCCAGTCTTTAGACAATCTTCCGAGTTAACAGCTTTGCCAGTGATGGCTACTGTATTCCCAGGGGCCTTGCAGACGCCGTGTTTCAGCAACCGGAAGGGAGTCAGGGT